GGTATCCATATTTAAAAACTATCAAAGCCGAAAGCTTAATGAATTAACATTGTTTTGTTGTTTCTTAATTACATTTATCCACAGATATGTTTTGATACTATTAATAACATATTTTGATCAGGATCCTGTGTCATTTAAGGACCAGTGAGACAAGAATTATATGATACAGAAAAAGCTAATTATATTAACTTGAAGCTTTATGGAATTCTTTGAGAAGACTCAGATAAATCTAACTATGAATTTAAATTTAAATAACGTTTTTGTTCTTTCGCTAAGTTTCTCATAAATCAGGTTACATAAATCCAATCCGTTAAGCGTTCGATTTTATTGAAAAATACTTTCGAGGTCAATTAACAGTTTCAAATAATAAATTTATTTGAATTTGTATTGAGAGTAGGACACCTGCTAAATTGCTTGTTGAACTTGAATTGTCTTCAGTAAGTAAAGTTCTTGCAATATATTGAATAGATTTTTATTTTGATTCTAATGTTAGATATTTATTTCATCTGATGAAGATCGTCCGTTAACGGATATTTCGTTTTTCGAACTAAATACAACGAAAGCAATTAAAGAAACACAATCAATATTACTTACAGCGTTTAACGGTTATAAAATTCAAAGATCTACTATGACATATTCGAAGAACATTCGAAACAGAAGTCTTACAATGTTAATACCAACGACTGAAATAGGTGTGGGTGTGGGTATTTTATTTAAATCAGGCCAATACCCACACCGATACTCACACCGACACCCATCCATCCAAAAATTAAAATATCTCTAATTAAATGTATCAGTTTCTATATAAAAAAAACTGAAATAAACGAGTTTATTACAACTTTATTTTATTTAGTAGTCTTATAATACTCGTTTTAAGTTATGTTACATACTCAGTTAAATTTCATATAAAAATAGTCATAAGAATAATCATTTCAAACAAATAACTATAATATTATTAAGAAAAGTCTCTCTGAGTTTTCATTTCACTTTTAAATATATACAATCCAAATATAAAACAATTACCTTATTTCACTTTTTTATTTTATGATATATTATTCTTTCTATAGTTAACAAAAACTAGTTTACTATTCTTACAAACTAAGTATTTTGTCTTATTAGTAAAGCATACTTACAACTATTCCTCACTACCAAACTTCATAAATTTAAAGAAAATCGTTCCACATTTGACCGCCAAATCCTACTTTTTTCTGTACTTGTCGCTGCTACATTAAGCAAAATTATTGGCATTGAACTCGAATGTATATCACAATGATAAACTGCATGATCAGAGAATTTAGCTAGTTCATCAGTAAAATATTCATTTCCCTTTAATTCATTGGATAAGACAGAGATATATTCTAGATTTTTATCAAATACATCGGCACCGACAATATTCCGTACTGATGTCATCTATCAAAAAGAAAGAGAATTAATTTATTTATTTAATAACTATTGTGTAATATAACAAATACAATGCAAATACTAATTTAATACTAACGAAATTTCATTGTAACTATTCTACTATTATTCTCTATGTACGATAAAAACAATTATTGTAACCATGATCACATGTAAAAATAATTTATATGAAGAACTTACGGATTTCTATAAAAATACTTTATCGCCTTCTTTGACAAAAGTTCTTTTCATATGCTCGAATAAACACATTCGATGAAGCGAGATAAACTAAAAATGAAAATATCGTGGATGAACGACGCCTACATTCTTTATTAGTAGTTACTGTATTTAATTTCTTTCATACCTCGATGAATAAGTCGTACACCACATACATTCTTCCCTTTCATTGAATTCTATAGCCTGAACGAATGAAAAAAAAACATCCTATATTGCGTCTATTCTTCGTACAGCAGCACTTTTCTAAATGATGTGTTATATGTCTACTCTATCAATCTTTTTGTAGCTTTATTCAATTACTCTTTTTCAATGTTCTATTAAATTATATTCTTCGTAGGCATGAGGGATACCGCATCGGAATCGGAATCAGGAACTGGCGAGTCTGATTCCGATTGCGATTCTTACCAAATTTAAACTGTACGATTCCGATGCGATTCTAAAAAAAATTTATTGCCGGTTCCGAGCCGGTTCCGATCTCAAAATACAAAAATTTTGGAATCGATGCCATTTCTGGTTATAATTGTTTTAAAAACTAAAATCTTAAATTAATTGTTGCGGATTTGAATAATTTCAAAGCAGTACAAAAATAATTAAAAAAAAACAAGAAACTATTAATTAATAATAACAATTAAATGTTTTTCATGTAAACGAAGGAAACGAGTAAAACTCATATCATACAGAATTCAAAGAATTTTAACATAGATGATTCCAATGCCGATTCTTAAAATTGATTTTCACGATTCCGATGCGATTCTAAAAAAAAATTATTGCTTGTTCCGATCCGGTTTCGAACTTAAAAAAATTAAATTTATCGATTCCGATACGATACTAAAAATAAATAAAACTCTTAACGATCCGGTTCCGATGCCAAAAAAACCTGATTTTGCCCATGCCTAATTCTTCCATTGTATTTTTAGGCAAATGCTTATTATCAATGATATTGATACTATACAAACTGATGCGAAGAAAATTCAATATCATTCTGTGAATCTTGAATCAAAACAATCATCTTTTATTAGGTCTTCTTCAAATTTCATCAAAACGGCACACATGATAAATCAAATTGAAAAAGAGACATTTATATCAATTTTACGAATTAATCCTTGTAGCAACAAGTAGGAATATTCATTGATATCCAATGTGTAAACTATTATTATCAACTTTCTTTTATCTTCGCTAAGCTGGTCTATCAACGGCATTGTTACAAATAAGACTAGTATTCATCAATATAGCAATGCACGTAGTCAAGGTGTAGTATTTTCATTTGATCTAATGGATAATACTGCTAAAATACGAGTCACTGCGTTCAACAACGAATGCAACAAGTTGCGTCCTACAATCCAAATTGGACAGGTGAGTGTAGAAAAAGAGCAGCTGCTTAATTCGAGTTCAAATATTAATGAAAATTTCGAAAATCCAGTTCTTATGAAATCACAAAAGAAAAAGAAAAAATTTTCTTTATTATAATTAATATGATTCGAGTGGAATTCGTATATTCTTGTTTCATAGAAAAATTGTGAATTTATTTTTTCATACAGTTTTGTTGCTAGAAAATACCTAGTGTGTGTCAAAATAGGCGCGATTTACCAGCGCTCTTCGGATGGCCCTTCGAGCCGCCATGCGCCGGTACTGGTATAAAGGTGTGTATATTCTTGGCATTCAGTTTTATGCGACGAACTTGGTGTTAGGTATATACGTTTCTTTAAATAACCGATGTTTACGGACATTACAGCAAAAGAGATGCGACTTGTCGGCGCCGCAGCAGGTACGCAAATGTATTTTGAATACAAAGGAACATCTAAGAAACTGAATCGACTGGATAGCTTAAGCAAATAATAAATTTTTATGAGCATTACTATTGTTTCTTTTTTAAGTTTTTGATAACGTTATTAATGTCTTAGAATACTTGTTTCACCTGATTCAAAAGTAGAATTGTAAGTGTCAGTTTAATTAGGAGCAGTTATATTATCGGAGTGAAGAGAAAGGTTACCTGGCTTGCACAGTACTATGTGTGGTGGAATTTCAAGTAGAATCGTTGTTGATCAAATATTCCACTCCCATTTTTCAAATCTACTATAGATATAGAATGGATAAATCGTCATTTTCATTCAGCTTGAAGCTTTCCAACATATTGGAAAAGATATTGTTTTAGTTAATCAATTTCAGATAAGTTTGTTACCATAATTATTTATTTATATAAGATGTATACTCTTGCTAAAGACATTGTAAAACCTGTCACTCGACAATACAATAAGTTATCATCGAACTATAAAATAATCGTTACTCAAGAAACAAGTATCAATCATAGTGTTACTGAAACTCATATTGATTCTTCAACTTCTCTATGTAATTTTGTTCGATTCTCCGATATTTCAAATCAACATACTGACGCTGTTATTGATAATCTTTGTTTTCAATTCGTCATCATCGTTTAAAAAACTATCTGTAGAATTCTTTAAGATTAGAATCAACGATATATATCATATTAATTATAAAATTGTCATATATCATTCTGTATATTAGTGAAGCGAAATTAATATCAATTATTTGTTTTTATTGCCTACGTTATTTAAAAATAGACTTGGATATGTTTTACTTTTCACATATAATCCTAACTAACAGTATGTGTACTGAACGATATTTTTAAAAGTTGATAGTTATATAAAATATATAAAATTAGTGAGAGTTTACATTTTTGCTCATTATTTTATAAATAAAAGATTACTATTTACTATGAACTACAGTCTGTAAAAAGATTGATAAAACACTCCTACATACAGCGTCTGTTATTTTATATCGATTATTTTTGAAATAATGTATTTTTGGCTGATCATTGCAATGTTACTGTTATCTAACTTTATTGCTAAACATAATTTCTAACCAATCCAAACTGACTTACACCTATATTTTTCTAAAACCGACAAGGATCCACCGGTTTGGTTAGAACTCTGATTGAAATCTCTAGATACTATAACTATCTACTTATCGTTGTCTCTTATTGTTGTAAACCTACAGAATGTATTATACACATACTTGTGATACATTTTGAAGAGTAAATGAAGTTAATTAAAAACTAATAATCAGCTATTGCAAAACGTTTCTTTTTCTGCTAATTATTTTCAAAAAAATAAGCCCGTCGTCAAAAGGGTTAATTAATCTGGATTTGAAATACACGTCAATGATATAATTCTCTGAAATGAAAATAATTTATTTGATTCTTACACATGAAATGTATATAGTATATTTAAAAGATAATATCAATTTGAACTACAGTATAAGTTTTATTTTAATACAATACACAACACAAATTTGTAATACATAAGCTATATAATATAATTAGTTTATTTGTTAAATAAATAATAAGTTTACGAGATATTTAAGAATGTTTGCATAAGTGGTGCCATTTTATCCATCGCATTTGAGGCTAGCATTTGTTGACGAAAATAGTCCCGACTTTCTTTCGACACTATCTGCATTCGAAATATTATAAGTAATAATTCATTAAAGTATTTGTAAGTATATGTTTCACCCTTTTTATTAATTAGATAATTCCAAAGTAACTTTATATAATGATTCTGTGCTCGATGAACAGCTAATTCATCTTTTAATGGTGGTTGATTTTCATTCATTGCTAAACCTTGAGTAAAAATTAAAATTAACATAACAAGGGAAAATAATACTGGATCTTGTTCAGTCATTGGGAAAAGTGAAAGCATTATATTTTGGAAATTTTCGTGAATACGCTCTTTGGAGCTACATGATTGCAAAGGCCTACAATGCCTTTGTTCACATTTGTTCTTTTCGGATAAATAATATTCATCTGCTGTTTTATAAAGATAACATTTAAATATTGGAAATAATGAAAACATATTAAATTTAATCAGAATAAATCGGTCATCAACATCCAGTTTTTCGAATTCATCGATTTGACCAAAAAAATTAATAAGTTGTAAACCTATCTTACTGGCCCAATGTGACCATACAACAAGAGCAGAATCTGGATCAGTTACATCATTATTATTATTATTATTATTACTCTGTGGCTGATTATTTTGAAAATTTGATACAAATATTGATCGAATATTTTCAATTGTCAACCAATCATCAATGGGTAATGTTCCAAATAACATATCTTCTATTTCATTTAAATCATCGTTTTCATGAAAAATGTTATTATTACCTTTATTCATATCCATCAATAACTAAAATAGTAAGACAATTAGTCATATAATGATCAAATATAATATTTTTACTCGATATCTCTTTCAAAAATTTCTATAGTTGTAATATTAATAACTCTAGGAAACTTCTAAGAAACGTACAATGTGTTTTTCTATTAGATGTATATTTCTTTCACCAAATTAATATAAAACTTACACGATCAATTTCATCAAATGATTCTGTATGAGATTCTGACTTGGGTACCACCTGTGCTGGTGGTGATGTTAATGATGAATTGGTCGATTCTGATGTTGATGAACGTTTCATTGAAATAGTTCGATTTTCTTCAAGACGTTGT